CTCTAACAGGCGTAAGGAGACGCTGACGATTCGTCAGACTCTGGATAACCTGAAGCTGGACCTGAGCATCGACGACGAAGAGGACGACCAGCAGCCACAGCAACAAACAAACAGCATCACCAAAGTCTAAACCACACGCTCCATTTATATAAATATTATTTTTAAAAGCACAAAACCGACTACATCTTTACACTGACATTGGCAGTAAACCGGACTCTATCTCACTTTTGGCAAAATGATCTCAACTCCTGACATGTTAATTAACATTATATTTTATTCTTCCTGTAATTTCCTAATAATTACAGAGACAACATTGAGACTAATAGCTGCATTTTATTAGTTGTGTTGACTCTGTAAGCACTTGTTGATTTAAAGAAAAATCTGCTCTATTTCAACACAATTACATATAAATTCATTATGAATTTATCACTGATAGCTTTAAGTTCTCCATATATGTAGAAATATGCTTCCCTGTAGACAGTGTTTCTTACCTGCGAAGCACTGACTAAGGTTACACTTGCAATTTATTGGATATAATTAATTGGAAGGGAAGTCTGTGTCTATAGTATTTTTTTCTATGTACTCAATTACAAAGTTTCTTCCTGGAAGTGTCCTGAGAATTTATTACAAAACTAAAGACTTTAATTATTTATCGCCGTCTCCTGGTGACCGGAAATACAATCCATTTTATTTACATTAAAGACAAAGGGAGAAGCTCCTGGTGGACTCACAGCCTCACTGCCGCTGAAACACATTGATAAACCTTTCAACAATGAGGTCAAGTGCTTCTTTTCATATGATATGACATGACATGTTTTCTCTGCTTGTTTTCCAAAGAGCATCCAATGTGCATCAGCTTGGTGCAGAGAGATGTTGACACATAGTGAAAGGAAAAACCTACTGGTGACAGTAATGAGATGAGAAGGATTTGATTAAGGTGCCTTGAAGATTGTAACCTGCTGTTGTAGTTGCCACTACAGAGAAACAGCTGGAGTCTGTCAGAATCAGCTTTAAACAGACAGAAGTACATTTTGGAGTGTGAATTTTTTTTACAAACCTAAAATTCTGAATGGACACTTTTAATTGTGAGAGACTTCAGTTTGATGAGGTCCAGAATGGTACATCATTTTCACTCAGTGACCTCTCACTGACTCAAAGAATTACTGGTTTCTCATAATGTCAAAACAAACTTCTCGGATTCTGTAGCGTTTGCTTTTATTTGGTGGAGCTTTGCTGACAGTTCTTTTGTGAAGAGGGATTTTCCATGTTAGAAAGTGTTTAGTTTATTATGTATAACACATTCTTCTGCAGTATTTGAACGTATCCCACACTGGTTGTTGACATATTACAATGTAATGACACACAACATGAAATAACTGCAGAGGGAGGGGTTCTTTGGACGTGATTGTAGCTGTTTTTGATTCACTCACAAAAACAATTAAGATTATTTATATTGAATACTTTTTTTGTGCATTTATGTTGTTTTTATGATTTGGAGATTAGTGAGTTTTCTGTATTTGCAGTTGCTGGGCAGGGCAAAAAATACTTTTAGAAAATGAAATTAGTTTAGAATTCAGTTTCAGGTATTTAAGGGGGTTTGCTGCTGTTTGAATGTAATAAGATTTAAGGGATAAGATTTTTTGTGTCAACGAAGAAGACCAAGAAAATCTCACGTCACACTTTCTGTTAATGTGCATCTTGAGATGATTGTATTTTATCCAGACTAAAATCCAGAGTTAGGATGGGTTTACTTAAATTTTTTAAATGTTTAAAACACAACAACTGACATTTTATGTCTAAATGCTGTTTGGATGCAAGATGTCTGTTCGTGCAAAATGTGGCTGAGGGAAAAAACAACATTTATATTGTGTTAGAAACACAGTTCATATGCTATGTGGTTTTCTGTACCATCTGTTAATGTTCTCTATGCTCTTATTTTAGAGGAAATAATTTTTTATTTTTTTTAAAAAAGGAAAATAAGGGCACAGACAGAAATAAACAGGACTGGGTCATTCATTTGAAATCATCAGTAGAAAATGGGGCTCATCACTGGCTTAATTCTTAGATCTTGATCATGGCCAGTCCTGTTATAACAGTCTTCTGCATGTTCTCTGAATCTGAATCTTTTGTATCTGTTAGAAACACATAAAGCTACTGTTCAGATACTCTTTGGATTTTTATGTTTACACATGTTGGTGTATTTTGCTTTTTGGAAAGAGGAGCATAAATTACAAGTTTTCTTTATGAAAGAGTTTCATATTTTAGCTGTTGGGAATATAACTGCTTCAGTGTCACTAGTGTTTTCTCAAAAAAGAAAGTGGCGGTGCCTACAGATATGTAAAAAGAAATGAAATACACTTGACTTATTTTTTTACTACACTTCACATTCTACTGGTTCTACTGTTCTTGGGTATTTATTTTTGTTTTTCATATTCTCTCTTTTGGTGAGAAGTTTGTTAGTGCAAAATGCAAATAAACTCTTCTCCACTCTGAATTCTAGCATGTGTCTTTGTTTTATGAAAAAAACCCTTTTAAAGCAGCTACTTGGAAGTTTTGCTATCGCTACATAGCAAATGTTAGCATTAACAGCTGTTTACTTAGAGAAGAAAGGTTGCGTAGAACTTTACTCATCAAGTTTCCAGTAGTGAAAAGCAACCCTCTTGTTTTGTTTCTATTTCTACCATTTTTCTTTTCTTCTACTGAAGTTAGCATGCTAACCAGCTAGCCCCGGCCCAATTCGCCAGTCTCATCACTTTCCAATACCGAGGCACTTTAGCATTTAGTCTGTCTCCTCCCAGTCTGCCTGAATTTGACTCAGAATGGTATTAACAAAAGAATGAGCAAACAAAAGAGGAGAAACAAACCAAAGAGAAAATATGTAATTTTCAGTTTCAGTAAGTTTCATAAATAGATGAAACAATGCTGTTGAATACCTTACAGCAAATAAGGGGCAGGAGCATTAAGACATCTGCACTTGCATAGGTAAATTTTGCCTGGTGATGGTGCTAGAGGAAACGTGGGGAAGGGAGAATTCTTGCTTAACACTCACGTAAATAGATTATTTAGATGGAAACAAAATGTGAAGGTGATGAGGCCATACAAGTTGTGACGTGTTATGTTCCACTTAAAACATTTATTTGTAACTGAAAATTACAGTTCATTTTGTGACTCAAATGTAATCATCATGGTGTTCATGGTTTTCCCTACAACCAGTATAAACACAAGCTTTCATGATGGGGGATTTCCAGCTTCTGACTGAAAGGGGAGCAGTGATATTTCTGAACACAGCCACAATAAAACCTGAACAATGCCTTTTTTATTTGAATCAGTAAGCCTAGCAACAGACTGTGTCCAAACACAAACAGGGAAGTGGTGAAGTGAACAACAAACACAACAGATTCCAAAGTTAATATAGTACTAATTCATCTTTAATCAGCTGTCGGATCTGACAATGCCTGGATAAATTTACTGCAAAGTCAATCAGTCATCATCAATAACAAATGCTTCTGATAGATAAAATGCAAACAACTGACTACAAATATACTCATCAAAACATACATGTTCAGTTTCAGTTTTTAACACTTTCAAAACCATCTTTTTTTCTACATTTTACAATTGTCATGAGCAAATATATTTTGACATTTTTACTTAAACTGGACAATTCAGTTTCTTTGTCAAAAATAAGTAATATATGAAAAGTGACAAAAGAAGAAGAACCAAAGTATTTTAGGAATACTTTTTTAATGGTTTGTTGATTCGGGGAAAATTTGAGTTATGGTCTGATAGTAACTGTCACGGCGGGGCATTCCTGTCCTGAAGGTACACTGTTTTTTCTTTTTAGAATGGTGTCCCATCATGGGTAACGTTTTCCTGTTTGCTAGCAAGCTAATATTTTACATGTGTTAAATTTACAGATATTTCTATAAAATGTATTTAATGTCTGTTTAAATGCTAAAACTCTTGCTAATGTTTTAACATGTTAACAATGTGTAAACATGCTAACACATAAGCACAAGTGTGTTTATGGAATTGAAAATATCAGCATACTGTCACCGTAGTAGTTTGGCTACTACTAGCTAAAATGTTAGCTAGTGTTAAAGGTTGTTCTAACTACTAGCATGCTAAGGCTAGAGAGGAAACACTGAAACCCATGGATGAAAATAAATTTGATAATGTAGAATCCGTTACTCAACAAATGACTTAACATAGGCTCCTGTTGTTGAGCAGTCCCACTGTCAAGCTGTTTATTTAATTCACTACGGTTAGCAGGTAAGCTGTGGCTCCACACAAATATACTTAAAATTAAAATACATCCTCTACACTGATTCATTTGATCGTTAATAACACTCTGTTAACAAAACTGAATAAATAATGTTGAAGTGCTTGCAATATTTTACAACATAAAGAACTAGGCTAAGAAATAAGAGAAAGAACCACTGATGTAAAGTAAAAAAAAATTAAGCACTAAATCTACTTTATTTGTACTTTAGTCAGGTACTTATATTTAACTTTTACAATACTTCATTTTGAAAATAAAATGGATACATTTGCTAATACAGGTGAATGTTTAATTGTGGGAACAATAATAACTCTTTGTCAGTGTCATTACATTTTTGCCATTTACTTAATATACATAGGCTAATATCTTTAAATATAGACGTAGTGCTATATCACCACTTATTTAAGAAAGATATATTCTTGATTTAGTTATAGTGACTTCAAATCTGCAATTTTCTTATATATTTGTATGTGTGTGTGTGTGTGTGTGTGTGTGTGTGTGTGTGTGTGTGTCTGTATTTTGCTGTGGGGTCGTTGCAGTGAGTCTTCATGAACACCTTACCAACACAGAAACGCCTCGCTGTTACTGCTATTAGACTCTTCTAGAGGGTTTCAACAATCAAAGAGTAAAATTTTTTTTTTTAATTTTCTCCTTAAAACTAAGTGGTCACCATCTGCATCACAACAAAGCAGAGTCCTCTGGAGAGAAAAAACCCAAAGGGTAAAAACAAACACAGAGATTTATTTGCAGCTCTGACATCAGAAACACTAAACGCATCACAGGTCATTCCATTCTTGTGGTGTCAAACATGCTAACAGTGCAACAAACCCAACAAACACACACAGGCATCGATACACACAGTGAAAACTGAACAAACGTGTACAAACCGCAGGCATCAGAGAGAATTCACACACAGAGGATTTCCAAAAATAAAAGCTCTTGGAGGTACTTGGATTGATTAGTTGTTTTGATATATTGAGCACAAAAACAACATAAGGACTTCTGTTCTCTTTTTCCTCTGTTTTGTTTCTATTATCAATAATGCATTAAAATATTCAGTAGCTCACAAACTTTACAGAGGATCAGACAGAAGAGTTAATAACAGGCACAACATGACTCTTCAAACAGTGTAAACTTTCAAAGTGAATTCAAAAACTACATTAAAGACTGAGAAGGTTTATGAAAGAGATGCTTTCAGAAAACATGATTTAAGACAGTGAAGTAAACGTAAGACACAACTGTGGCACAACTGAATACTAGATTTAAGCAAAAGGGACAAACATATTCTACAAATTCAAATGAAATTTGATTAAAAAAAAGATATTAAGAAGCAACATAAGAAGGAAGTCTCAGATAAAAGCTGGCAAATTGGTTCAAGAGATTGTCATGATTAAAAGGCATTGGTTGAAGATGTAAGATATCCATCTGGAGGCACCTGCCCAGGAAATTTGGACTGAGAAAATTTCAAATAAGAAAATCAATTCCAATCATAACTATTAATTTGGTACAGTCTATGCTTAAGTTTATTTTGTCCCCTTGCTTTATTTAATTTGACCTTGGGTATATCTTAAGGATTCGTTTCAGTGCTGTGTCATTTGTTTTAACAATGCAAAATGAATTAATTCTAAATTAGTTGCCAGTCATCTTGATCAGTAAGGCTGTATGACATTTATGGGCAACTAACCTTCTTTCTACCTCATAATTTAATTGTTTCACTTAAGTTTTAAAAAGAAAACATGGACATTTTATAAAAACTGAAGCAACTTACAAACCTGACAAGTGGCTTTTATGAAATCAACACACGGTAACCTTACTAAAAGATTTAAAAACACATATGAGACATTTTAAAGCTGCATTAGTCAATATTTTCATGGAAATAATGGATGACATTACTATGTGTATTTTGAAAGGTGACAGTCATTGTGAACCCAGAGTGAATTATGCAGCGTGTTGTGAAGCTTTTTTTAGCCTCTTTCAGCTCATCGTTTTGGTTTTACTGCATATTTACTGTCTGGTTCGGTCTCTCATCGACCCAGCGGCAGGCAGATGTTGTCAGAAAACAAGGTCACATAAATCCACTGTACTCTACCTGCCCAGCATCAAACAGCATACAGACAAAGTTAACAACTAGCTGGTGAAGAAAGGGGGGACATCTGAATCTGAATCATTTAATGACCACATGAATCTGCTTTCAGTACAGCATGGTGGGTAAGTTCATTCAACAGTGTCAGTAACATCAAACTTGGGCATTTAGCAGGTAAAGAGCCACATATTTTTTCTCAAGGGTTGGTATAGAGGTGCTTGATGTGTAACTAGGCAACACCTTAGTCAAGACAACTTTATAATGGTAATATGTTGGTGCTGTTTTCAGCTCTTTCAGTTTCAGCCACCCAAGTCTTAATTATATGATTCTATTGAAGTATTACTTGCATTACTGTAACAGGACTTGCTTCATGAATGAAAGCTGCAGCAAAGGAAACAAACAAAACCTATAGTAAGTGCAGTGTTAAATGTAAATGTAAATGAAATATGTATAGAAAAAAATATATAATGGGACTAATATAACCTGTACACTATGATTACATACATTAGAACCATAATAAAAGATACAATTTACAGATCTGAACAAAAAAGTATGTAAATGATGAGCTGAAACAGTGCAAACAACAATATTTTCTGGGAAAATAATCACTATTATGCTGCTAAATAACTGGGAGATTATGTTATAATATGAGCCAGCTCTGTCTGTCCATCCATCTATCTCCTTATTAGTGTTTATTATGGCACTGAGATCAGCTGTTGGCAAATCACTCTGCTTGGCTTTCAAACAAAAGAAAACGAACAGACACAAAAACATATATTTTTTGTGAGTGGCAGAATGAGGTTTGAGTTTGAAGAAATCAAATGCTTCTTTGTCAGATAAAATATATGTGATGAGGTGAAGCCAAAGCTCTATGCTTTAACTTTCCATTAACATTACTGTTGACCCATTTGGCGTCACTGCTTAGAAAACCAACCTGCAGTTGTTTTAACACTAAACAGCTGTGAGCTGGGACCACGAACAAAAACTGAAAGACAAAATAAGGTTTAATTGGCAGCAGGTGGCAAGCAATAATGGCAATGATGGAAAAAGATAATTTCCCTTGATTCTGGTGCACCTCAACTTGTCTCAAGATTTATCATGAAGTAAGGCAGATCAAGGTGTTACTTGACAAGAGGAAAATTGTTTAGATGCAATTAAAACAAAAGAGATTATCTCAGGACTGAAGCTGATTTTGACACTTAAACTGTATTTTTATAGTAATTTCCATCTAAATGGCTTCTACAGATGGATGTTTTTCAGTGTTCTCAAGCATCATGGTACAACAACATCCTTTTACACTGAACGCTGAAGTGGAATTTAGTTTCACTATGCCACGATTTCACTGGGTTTTCTGCACACCAACGGTCAGGACAAAAAGTTGGTCCACAGTCACTTCAAGTGTTGAGCAAATTATTTCTACTGTATTTCTTCAGGAGTTTATATTCTTCAGGTTACAGACACATTATGCTACTAAATTTGTAATTATGGGATTAGATAAGAGCACGATAGCAATGAAAAAAATATCTCACATATATAAATGCAGTTTAGATAATTTGCGCCTGATGGACATGAAACATCAAAAGAAGAAATGAGTGTGAGAAGGATATGAGAAAAAATGTGAAATATGAAAACAGAGATACTAGTTTTACATTTCTTTTAATATAAATAATTGGTTTATACTCTAACAACATTGGTCATGTATGGGGCCTTAAAGCGATATTTCACTTTGTCTGATTATCTGTTAAAAACAGAAGGTCAAACTATAAAATCAGCTGCCCTGGAGATCTAACATCACCTGACTGACGTTTGGCATTTTATCCGTTCTCAGAAAGGTTTCATGATTTCCATGATAAAAAAAAAAGGATTCTGATTAGATAAGATTATCCTCTCCACTCACCTTTCAGTGCAGCTATAACTGACTCAAATGCCATGTTGGTTCTATCTTTAAAGTTTTGTTTTCAGTTAAATGTTAGTAAGTGATGGTGACACTGGACCCCCAGAGCAATCAATATAGATGACATGCCTCAAACTCCAACAGAGATTAAGTCTGTCCTTCCACAGTGGAATAACGCTTTAAAAGACAAGGCAGTAGATCAATTTGGAACAATACGTCTCTCCTGGTCTATGATCTGGTCTATAATGATATAAAATGTAGGCTGTTTTCCTCCATTGCACATGTAACATGCTGTACCCATATTCATCCTAAGATATGAACCCTGCAATCAGCCAAGTCTGACACCATCATGGAGGTCATGGAGGTTAGCCGTGTCCAACATGTATACGTAAAAATTCAATGTTATATGTAATGTAAAAGTACCCAAAGTATCCAAAAAATGCTATTTCTAATCATCTAATCAATCATATGGCAATCCTGTACAAACAGACAAAAAAGAAAACAGCAGTGTATGTAAGCTTAACTTTCCACATGCTATTGTTTTGGTATCAAAAGTCAGATATAAAGATGGATGAGCGCTCCTCCAGAGAAAACTACAAGTCTTGGCACAGAGAGTAATTACTCAACAGTCACAACAACCTTGAACAAACAGAGCTGTTGTGGATAATACGATGTTGGCTGTGTGGCGAGAAGTCTGATACAAAATGTTTTTTTTCCACGTGATGTGTTTCCATTTGAAAGTTACTGAAACTACATATAGTGTCTTTACTCCAAAAATACTCCTCAGATGCTTTTCTTAATATAAGCATGCAGCCCGAGCCACTGCTAACACTGCCAGGCACTGTAGGCTACTCTACGTTAGCTAGTTTGTGGCTAGCTACATTAGCTGCTAATACACGTCAGCGAAGGGTATGCCACAAACAAACTCCACGGGCTTTTTACCCTCCTCTGCTAATCACCTGTCAACAGCCATTATCACTCAGATGTTGAAGATCTCCTACAAGACACCGTAGCTAAATTACACAAAACACAATTTGATGCATTTTCAGCAAACGTCTAGCATCACTGAACCACGCAAAACTGTTGTGAAAAATTATATTTTTTGGCAAATACGGGTACAGCATAGAACACAGTGTGAAACAGGGAAAAAGTAAGAATAAAAATACATTTGTCACACAGTTGCTCAGCCTGGTCCAGGGGGAAAGGCTTCAGGAATCGATACAGATACACAGCTTGATGTTAAACTCTTTATGGCCCAGATTAGACTGTCAACCCGTGACGACCTAAACAGGAAGCAAAATCTTTCCCCTGATACAAAGTGATGAAAAGAGTTGAAATTAAAGTTTTAAACATCTGTTTAGAGCCATTTAAATCATTCAAACCACTTGTGAGCAGAGAAAGTGGGAGCACGCAGAGCTTAATTCCCAGGCTGCATGTTTTAACGAGGCACATCATGTGTTTGACAGTGATGAAACTCTCCCCTCCTGTTTTAACTTCCTAAACCGAGATGAAAGGCAGACAGGCTGAGACTGTGATATCTTCAATATCCACTAGAGGGGGCTAGGGTTGTTTCATAGCCAGAGAGGCAGACAGTTTGGGAGGAAAAGAAAGAATTGAGAAGGTGGTTAAAGGTTAGTTTTAGAGAGGAGGAAGTGAAGAGAAGACAAAGAAACATGCAATCAAAGATGACAGAGGGAGGAAAGCAAAAAGACAGAGGGAATGTGACGAGTAGAAAGGACAGATAATGGAGGAGCGCTGACTGGTTGTTTTCCTGATTCGCCTCTTGATCTAACATGCACATTTCTTCTCGTTGGGCTGTGCTTCACCGAGCTTTGTGGCCCCGTTCCCATTGGCGGGCTCGGCGGGCGGTTTGTCGACGCACTGCTCCATCCTCTTCATGACCAGGTCCAGCAGTGTTATCACCGCCTTGTCCACCTCTGCTCCTGTCGCTGCACTCGTCTCAAAGTACGGGATCCTGTGAGCAGCAGAACACAAGACATATATATTTTTTAAAAGGTCCATAACAGTAGAAGGGTTTTGGTTCGATGCATCATGACCTTTTTCAAAACAACACCATCCATTTCTAGACTGATTGCCATTTCTATAAAATCCTTCTGTAGAGACTTGAAACTTCAAACAGGTAAAAAGTCCATTTTAACTTTTAATTTTTTTTTTTTTTTTTGGGAGGGGGGGGTATGCCTTTATTTGAGAGTCATTTTTTGAGGTGAGGTGTCTGAAAAGTTTCTCTGTCATTCAGGTCACAGTATTGTTCAGTGATATATGAAGGAACACTGGACTTGCTTGAGGTTCTTGAAGCATTATAGAAGAGGGGTGTCTTCATGTAGCACTTAAGACATTGCGAGGTGCATTAGTTGTTTATGGAGCCCACTGGGAACTATGTAAAAGAAGAAAAGAACATGGGTGTGGGAAACCGCGCTCATGGATTGATAAACCAAGGAAAAGGTTGATGGGAGGTGAGACTTATGTGGACCTGGAGAGAGCTTTCGACGTGTCCCTCGGGGGGAGGTCTTGTGGGGCTGCCAGATAGACTTGGTAAACCCAAACATGTAGTGAGGGTGGCCTGGAAATGCTTGACTGCCTGTTCTGGTGACCTGCTGCCACCTTAACATCACCCCGGATAAGCGCAGAAAATAAATGCATGGATGGATGGATGGAATGATATCTGATATTTAAAGTTCCCCAGAGTTCAGCATGTAGTTTTTTTACATCCTGGATCTTTACTTCCTGGAGTTTTTTGTTGCCAGGCAACAGCAGTCTGAGGTCTTGGCTGGCTGGAATGGCACCAGGAAATGATTTTTGACTCATCTAACAGGAAGTTGTTTTGTTTAGAAATTGTTGACACGTCAGTGCTGCACAGGAGTCACGTACTGTCTGTAATGTTGTGTTATGGTCTGGCTTGTGTTACAGTTAACATCTGCTCGTTCTATTGTGTGTGTGTGTGTGTGTGTGTGTGTGTGTGTGTGTGTGTGTGTGAGAGACATCAGACACTTGCAACAACTGCATCACAGTATATGCAATATTCTCAGTGTCCAGAAATCTGAATTCTCTGAATACAATACTGTACATGAAAAGTAAACGTACCCGTATTTATCTGCCAGCTCCTTGGCCTGTTTCTCCTGAACCTCCCGCTGGTCGGCCAGGTCTGCTTTGTTTCCTACCAACACAATATCTGGGTTCTCACAGTAGGCGTTGGCCTGTAGCTGGCCTGCAAATGAGTACAAATAAACAACAACAGCAAACAAATGAGATATGCAACACTTTTGTTTTTGATTAATTAAAGATCTAAAACTCTTTCTAAGCACACAAAAGGCGTTTTGTTCACAATTGTGTTTAAATCCGTGTGAGTGAGCGCTCCTGCTTCGCCACGTCACAGGTGTGGCATATCAAGTCACTGATTACACAGCATGATCACTGCACAGGTGTGTCCTGGGCTGATCACAATAAAAGGCCACCTTAAAAATGTGCACTTTTATTTTAAACTAGATTTCACATGACTTAGGCAACAGATGCATATTTTATTTTTATTTTTTTTTTATTTATTTTTTTTTTGGGGGGGGGTCATGGATCAGAAAATGAGCCAGTATTTGGTGTTGCACTGCATGAAGCTAATGGTGGTCACACCATTAGCTTCATGCAGTGCAACACTTCTCTGTGCACAGCTGATCAGGACTGATTGATTGTGGCCCGTGGAATTTTGGATCGCTCCTTTTCATTGGCTGTGTGAAGTTGCTGGATGTTGGCAGGAATTGGAACATGCTGTCGACGCAGATCCAGAGCGTCTCAGTGGATGACATGTCTGGTGACTACGCAGGCCGTGCGAGAACTGGGCTGTTTTTAGCTTCCAGGAATTGAGTACATCATGCTGCAACATGAGGTGATGGCGGCAGATCTCAGGATCTCGTCGCAGTATATCTGCGCGCGTGTGTGTGTGTGTGTGTGTGTGTGTACATATTTTGTGTTTATAGAAAAAGTGTTAGATCATTTAATAATTTAGCCGTGCACACGCACATATATATGTGTAACGCATACTGCAAATACTGTCACTTACTTCTGTTTTGTTTCATGCACTTCATGTGACCTACAGGCTTACAACTTCACTTTCATTTCTGTTCATATCCCCCGGAGAGTTTTTGACAGCTTGTGGCAATGTAACATTTTGATAGCAAAACCGGAGACAGACTCAAAGCTAAAACAATGCAGGTTTAAAAATTTGAAGACAACAACATACTCATCCAGTTTCTGACATTGAGGAAGCTCTGCTGGCTGGTGAGATCAAACATCAGCAGGAACCCCATGGCGTCTCTGAAGAACGCCGTCGTCAGGCTGCGGAACCTGGAACGTGCACACAGAAAGTAAGAAACAAAATACACAATGCTATATTAGTACACTGCACATTTTAAATGTTTTAAAGCACTTAATTAAGTCATATATCCAAATTATATGAGAAGTTTTAAGAACAAGTGTGAGATTGCCCATTTGAGAGCAAAGAGCAGAGCAAAGACTACAGCTGGGAGCCTCAGCTGGTTTAAGCACCAACTGTTAAAGCTTAAGTGTCTGAAGCTGCAGATTCTCTAATGACCACTGGATACCGCTGCAGGGAAACTCAGAAGACATTGGGGTGAATTAGTAAACATCTCTCTATCTGCAGGTTTTAACTGTACAAAACACGGACAGACAGAGAGACTCGAACTATAGCTGTGTCCCAATTCGGGGGCTGCATCCTTCAGATGCTGCATATGAAGAACTGACTGCTTCACACTGCGCTGTGAAGATGTCCCATTTCAAAAGCTCCTTCAAATGTGGCTGAGAAATGCCTCCTGCTATTCTAACCTATCCCAAGATTCACAGTGCGCCAGTAATGAAAATAATATGGCAGCAAGCCACAGAGCACGTCCTCTGAAGGATGCAGCCCCTGAACTGGGACACAGCTAATGAGTCTATACAAAGCACTGTCAGCCGTTTCCACCTGCTTGATTTCAATAATCCAGGAAGTTTAGTGGTTGGTTTAAGCCTAAATGAAAACGTACAATAAGTATTTACTGGTTCGGTAGTAATACGACTCCCCAGTTAATCCGTGGCATGCTGGGCTTCGGGTGTGACACTAAGGAACTTAGCTGTGTGTAAACATCACTTATGAAGCTTTATTTGCAAATGTACAATATGCAAACAATCGGGATTAAGCTACAGATATCAAGGGTGTTTCCTCAGCAAACACTCACTGATCACACAGGTGGAATAATGACCTCAGTCGCTTCATTAAACAATCATGAAGATCAGTCTATGAAAAGCGGAATCTGTTACGTTACAATGAGCTGAATAAATGAAATTACAATTATGTAACTAATGCTGAGTCATCCTGGACTGAGTCATCAGGGCTTTATAAACAGATTCAACAGATAAAGCCCAGTTCCAATTGAAGACCACACACACACACACACACACACACACACACACACACACACACATATAACTGACACATACTGTATTCATAGACAGGGAGGCACAAAGACATACACACAATCATAGATAGTGATCTGTTAACTCAGCCTCAAACTGTTCAGTGTGATTATACATGCTCGATTTCCTTTTATAATCTTTGTCGAAATTGGATTTTCATTCCTAAAATTTTCCATTGCTTTTTTGGTTTTGCCTTAAAAACTGAAGTTAAAGAACTTAAACCTTAAAGACTGAGGTGAAAAACATATTGCCCCGAGTTTCAAGAAAAATCCAGTGTTGGAGCGCCAGTACTTGTGTTCACATTAGGAACACAATGAGAGCGGAAGTTATTTTATTTATTGTTTATTTTATACCAAGGCCACTGAGAATTCTCTGTTCTGATTGGCTGGAAGGTTGTGGATTGACTTTAACAGGATACTGTGGGTGGACTGTGTCTGATTGCAGCTCTAAATTGATGCACCCGTATTGAACTGTATGTAAAGACAGTGGGGGTTGCCTAAAGAGCCTGGAGCTATGCTCATTTGTGAAACCACCAACAACAACCAGAGAAAAAGGGTAAATAGACTATCTTGACAACCACAGAAATTTCATTTCTGACATCTGTTATGGTCTGTGCCATGATTCCTGTCTTTTCCTTGTGGCAGCTCTTGTGTCTTTTCCTTGTGTTTCTAGTGGGTTTTTTTCCTATCCTTTGTGTCTCCTGTCCTCACCCTATCTGTCTCTGTGTGTGTGTGTGTGTGTGTGTGTGTGTGTGTGTGTGTGTGTGTGTGTGTGTGTGTGTGTCTTTGCCATGGCGCTCCCCACTCCCTCCCAGCTGCTTTATTGCCTGATCACCTGCCATCCATCAGCTCTCAGCCCAGCAGTACTTAAACCCCAGTTCTTCATCCACTCTTCACCGGATGGTTGTTACAGTCAGTTTGGTACCGAGTGCTCTCTGCCACTTTAGTATAGTGCACACTAAGTGTATCTCCTTGTGTTTGACCCAACATTTGTTTTTTAGCACCCTCTGCTTACCCGTCAGCCTGTTTAACTCTGCGCCTGCCACAGTCATCGCTCAGCTCATCACTCCAAAAACCTGACCACATCACTGGCCTTCAGTCTCCCTCAAGCTCCTGCCTCGCCTGCCAGCTCCTCAGCCATCATTCCCCACTCCCCTTCAGTTCCCCTCAATCCCCTGCCAACTCTTTCGCCCTGATTCCCTGCTCAGCTCAGCTGGTGAAGGTGAGGGGCATAGGGGAAATGGTGGATGGCAGAGCTGGAGCCCACACTCCTCCTTTCATCATCCACTCACAATTGTTTTGCAATGAACTTCTTGTTTGGTCATCCAACAATTGAGTCTGTGTTCTACATTTGATTCACTTGTTATATCCAACAGTGTGTTTGACATTACCGTGACTCTGGAAGTCCAAAACAACTGGTGGTCAGAGGAGGAAAGACTTAAAATAACATTAGGTGTGGTCGGGGGGGGGGGGGGCTGCAGGGAAGCGGTGCTAGGTGATGCTAGTAGCAAATTATCTTTACACATAAATCAAAGAAATATGTTGATTAAAAATAGATTATATCTGTAAGCTGACTTTCAACAACAGTGTCATCAATTGCATCCACACTTTTTTACTATCACCATCACCAATGTTAGCGTTGGTAGCTTGCTTGCTTTGTAGGCAAATGACGTCCCCATTCTCCATCTTAGTAAGATGTAATTGGTTTTAACTGGAGGAAACAGCCGTCACTTGTTCACACGTACATGGGTACCTGCTGGTTTTTCCAGCTCTTGCAAAAGCATCTCTGGCCACATGAAAAACCAAAACACACTGTTGAGAGCATGCCAAATCAACAGGCGGCGATATAACCCTAACCATAAAGCCATGTTGACCAATCAGAAGTCTGGAAAAAAGGTTTCCCGGTTCTGGTAGAGAAACAACACTACACACATTAAAAGCTAAAAACTCTGAACACTGAAAGAAAGTCTTCGGTTTGGCCAGAGGTTTGTCAATCCCTGATGAATCATAATCATAAAAAGCCAAAGAGCAGTCCAAGATATTATGAGCGACATATGGATGATAAGCTAGACTAATATAAACACAAGCTATTATCCTGTTAATTGGCCGCCCGAGGGAGGGGGAATAAAACACAGCCCCACCTCTCCTGTCCAGCTGTGTCCCAGAGCTGAAGATGAACCTTGAAGGTTTTCCCTGTGGTCGTCCCATTGGGGTTGGACGCTGTGTACACCTGAGGAGAGAGAAGCATTTCTAGTTTAGTTTTTATTTAGCAGATGCAATAAACATGAGGTCTTGTGTGTTGATGACTCTTGATGACAGATCAAATGAAAGGCTGAATGGAAAACAACCCTCTTTACACAACACTATACCTTGAATCTGGTTACATTATACTTTCTAGTATTTAGTCGACATGTAAACATCCAGTCACACCACCACCACCACCACCACAACAATAACATTTAATTCCAATAAACTTGCCACACATGTTTCACCTCAGTTTCAACATTGGTGAACTTTAACATGCACATTTTCACCACTGGGCAAGAGCAGAGCCAATCAAAATATTTGCAAGAACACCTTCCATTTCATGGATCTATTACTCTAATGCAACTTCATCGATTGTATTTCATTATCTCACCAGCGCCTGAAGACAGTGCTGAGGTAGCTCCTTGTGTTTTTATTTTTAACACAGTACTGTTTTCAGCAAGATGGTCCAGTTGGTCCATTTTTCCCATCTCCACTGTTCTATTGTTGTGAATTTGTCACCAGGTCTGACTTAACAGTGATCTGGACAGTGATCCTTTCTCTCTAAAGGTGAACTGATGCTGCAGCTGGTTGATTTTCTGTCTTTGCAGGAAGCATCAGGTGTCATTCACACCTCTGACTGAGATACTCCCACACTTCGTCTGACACTCTTTTAAGGCTGCGTTCACACGGATCATGTTCAGAGGAGTTAGGTTGGTCTCCAGTTTTCCAGGTGATAACTGACTTTTAAATCAGGTGGAAAAATGAGGACGTGTTCATCTGACAGTGTGAGTCCTCTATAGTGAGAGCCGCAGTTTGTTGTTGGAGCAGAGTGTTGTTGGAATACAAAGAGTTTTTGTCCAAATGCCACAGTTGCACATTTTCAGTTCCTTCAACTACTTTGTTAAACACTTTTCCCACAAATGCCCTGTTTCAGTTTTCATTTAACTAAATAAACTAAAGTTATATGCATCAGTGTTTAATATCTTCATACAAGCAGCTCTATAAACCTAAATTAATAATATTATTAAACTCTAAGTATCTGATCAAAAAAATCAGAGAACAAAACAAAAGTTTCTTACGAGTACTTAATTTCAATAATTAAGAATTTAAATTCAATACCCAACCCACATTATAAAAGGCACTTCAAGAAATTAAAAATAAGTTAAGGATGATGATACCTGTAATCCATGGTTTTTGTTTCTTCTTGTTTTTTTGTGCAAAATAAATAATCTTGTCATACAATCATTTGCAACAGATATTTCAAACTGTTTATAAGTAAGATATTTATCTTTTTTTCTTTCCAAGAAACATGTCTGAAAGAAGACTGGACTGCATGGTCACATTTACACTTATTCATTTGACAGAAGCTTATGTCCAAAGGTTCAGCCCAAGCTACAATGGATCAAGGAGAACTCTCAAGGAGAGTACCTGAATACTCAGTTCCGTGTTCAACCTGACTCAAGTGCCTCAAGGCTGCAGGCGCATGGAGTACTATATACTGTAAGTGCAAAGCAAATGGCTTTTGGAAGAGATAGAGAAAGAGAAAAAGCTTATTGGTTGGTCAGCCTCGGTTGGAATCTGTGTTTTGTACCAACTGACCATGTGAGACAGCTCCTTCAAACCAAAAAAAACTATTCTCAAGCTTTGCTATTGTTACATAGCCAATGTTAGCATTATCAGCTAACCAGTCTTATAATTCCCCCCTCTGAGCAGCTCTACTTCTTCCGGGTAGATTGGAGGCTACAATAACCAGACAGTCCCACAGGGCTAGGGCTAGCTGTTTGCCCATGCTAACTTCATCACAAGAAAGGAAGTGATAGAAATAAAAACAAAACAAAAGTGTTGCTTCCCACCTCTGGAGACAGCTCTTGGTGAGTAAAGGAATGAGGTTTGATGCTGAACTCGCAGCATTTCTTCTAGACTGCTAGATAAACAGTTCTTAATGCTAATGTTAGCTATGTAGCAAAAGCAAAACTTACTAATAGCTCCTTTTACTCTGAATACAATGAAATGTAATAATCAAGATGTGATAAATTAAAAGCATGAATGACCATGTACTATATCTATGAAGAATAGTCTTACATTAAGATTTAAAATTTACGCATGTAAAGTCCATGAAATCAAATGAACCGATCCTCATATTAGCCTGTTTCTTCTGTTTTTTTAACGGGTACGAGGGACACATTCATTCAGCTCAGTGTACAGCAGCTGGAGATTTGCTTCATCTAAGACCTGGTTGGTCATGTTACTTTTGTCTACAAATTCTGGTTCAGTGGTTCAAAGATAAAAACTTATTGTCCACAGTCAGCCTTAGGATCCACTGATAACACTGAACTACAGCTGTGATCACACATTTGTACACATTTGTCTGCCTCTGGATAAAGAAGCTCAAAAAACACACACACACACACAGAGGAGGTGAGGAACGATAATCAATCCTATGAGTCATCCAGAGCTGTTAAAGCAGCATTGTCAGTGTTTCAGACATGTGAGGGCAGCACAGCACCAATGTGACCAAACAGCTGACCAAACCGAGCCTCGCCCACTCTCTGATTCAGATAACTGCATCCCATACACCGAGATCTGGATGCATTTATCCTGATAACCGGAGTGTTATCTAAAGACTATCTGTCAGCTTATCAGGATTTGTCACTATCCCACTTCACAGAGTGCGGGCGTCAAATATAAAATGGTTTTGGATTGTAACAGTTTGAGAAAGAACTAGAATTTCTGCCTGCACGAACCACTAAAGTTGCAGTTTACATTCATGTCTTTCCAGAATCATGTAATATATATACAGTAGTATAGAGTTTGAAGGAATTTAAGAATTATAATTATTATTCTTTTGTGAGGTCACAGTAACTTTAGCTTTGACCACCAAAATATAATCAGTTAATTTTTTAGTACATGGGAACATTTGTGCCAAATATGATATCACAGGCGTTACTGAGGAGACTGTCCTCCTGTGAAAAACAAGCCCATAGTTCTGTGCAGCAGGTTATTATGACCCATAGTTACATTTTGTAGTTAGACATCTAGTGGTCGTAGTAATTATGACAGGAGCGAAGGGAAAAGTGCGGTGACGTAGTAAAAAGAGAGACAAAGTCCACGTCAGGAGGAGGTTGTGGTGGATGGATGGGTCAACAAAACACAGGAATGTGACACACGATGAGGTGTTCGATTCCCACCAGAAAGTAGCAGTTTATGTTGTTTCTTTTATTCATAATCATTCAATTAAATGTACCACGTTCTTAATATTGTGACCATGACAACAAAGATCGTTTAATGTTGAGAAAGCTTATTTTAACCCAAATCACGATCTTTTACTAAACCTAACCAAGCCATGGTATGGTATGGTAACCACGGTGACGATCAGTATGCCACGCCTAGTACAGTAACATGTTTTTTATAGTGACCATGACAACCGAGGTATAGTACATACACCCAGTCAGGAGACACTCCTATGGGTCATATCAAAGGGTTGAAAAAAACGACCTGTGCCTTCACGAGAATGGGTTGGACATATGGATGGACGACCAAAAAATACAATGCCTCAGGCCCTGGCTGTCACCAGCGCAGAGGTATGAAAGACTGTCTTTGGGTGAACTGCTCATTACCATTGCTCTGACCCAGCATTGTCCAGGGTACCATCACAAATGAAGGCAAGACTTAGAGAAGAGAGCCACAGAACTACAGTTTTATCAAGTAGCAGAGAAGGAACTGCTACTTGCTTATTTCTTTTTACTTTTTTTCATTTATTAATACCACAGAAACTACTAAGTTAACCTAAATCACAGATAATTTATCCCGGTTACTGGTGGATGTGACCCAGGTTTGATCTTGCTGACTGTGACTCAGCTCAGCAGATGTTGTGGGAGAAAAGCGGCAGAAAACCCAGACCTAACCCGACCCACTGTTTGTTCTTTAAAAAGTGAAGCCCAAAGAAAATGCATGGGCAAATGCCACGGTAACTATGGTAACCAAGCCTGTATCAGAAAACTAACATCTAGTTGAGATGACGCTTAAGATGAATTAGCTGCAATTCAAAACCAGAAGGACCAAGAGGAATATCTTGAATCTGCACAGATCAGAACTCACCACTCTCTTTTCCCTGAAGTCGATGCCGACTGTGGTGATGAACTTGGGGTTGAACTTGTTGTCTGTGTATCGGTACAGGAAGGTGGTCTTCCCCACGCCGGAGTCCCCCAGGGCAAGGAGCTTTATAAGGTAGTCATAATCCCCATCAGTCATAGTGATGACCGCAATAAACCTGCGGAGAACAGACACACACACAGAAACACACAACTCAAATTTGTGCTTTCATGGGCTTTCAGGGTGTGTTGTAAAAAGTGACAAGAAAGTGACATGAAAAATAAAATAGAAGAAAAGAGGAAATAAGAGGCAAGCACTGACATGAGAGAAGTCAGAAGTTAAACAGAAAACATACTCACAGTGATAGAAAAGAAAGGAGACGGTGTGTGTGTCTGCATCTGTGTGTGTTGTTGCACTACCCACTACTGAATTATGGGAGTGGAGATCACAGGGTCGTCTTGACCAGAACATGACTTTCTGGGAAAATAGTAAATGTGCGTGTGTGTGTGTGTGTGTGATTTGGTGGGGGGGGGTTATAAGTGGGGGTGGGAAAGAGAGAGTGCATGTTTGTATGTCATAGTATGAGAAAACATGAAAATCACATAACAAAAATCAGCACATTATTTTTAAGTCATGTTCTTAATTGCAATTTTGAAGTACTTGTACTTTACTCAAGTATTTCCAGTTTAAGTACTTTAAGTACATTTTATAAGGAAGTATTGTAGTATGTACATTCAGACCTGATCATCTTATAAAGTAAGATAGAATGTTTTGGATTTATATTGTCTAACATTGAGTACTTTTGATGACAATACTACTTTTTCTTAATCCATAGTGCTATTAGTGGTGAGAAAATCCACAGGAGTTTAAGTGGAGTTTCTGACCACTAGTCGCATTATGGAGGAATGTTTCTACAAGGGGTTTGATTGTATTGTGCACACAACGACATACAGTAGACAAAACACAGCAATGCACCAAAAAAGGCAGTGAAGAGGAAGACTGCCTGCAAGTGAAGATGGATGTAGAAAACTCCTGGTTTCAACTATTTAAACAAGACTACGAGTCAAACCAGCGGCTCATGTGAACTTCTTGAATCTATATAGTGAGCTGTGGTCTGCTGTTGTGTGTTTGCCTCTTGGCTAAATGTGGTATATTTAGAGACAGGATCATAAGACTCTAATTCACTCAGCTGAGAGGAAGCACGTATAACACTGTGCTTTATTACAGTCTGGACAGTGATTACCCAGGAGCTCTGATCTCTTCACAATAACCTCACTGAAGCCTCAGTCACTACAGTGAGAATAGGCCACTGACCAACCAAACTGAAGTAAAGACAGCACACAGATGTTTGACCTGCAGCATATTCTATCAGCACCCAGTCTGGTAAATTTTCATGGTATCTGTAGTTTTTGTTGTATGGTGACTAAATAAATCATTGTTTAATTGTATTCAGATTATTAAGGTTTCAGTGTGTCATGTTTCACTTTCTCACAAAGACCATTGAAATAAGCTGAGTGAGAAATTCCCCTGACTTCCTGAGGCCTGTGGCACACAGGCATAGCCCCGTCAGGACTTCAGCTATGTCTTGCTAAAGAGCTAAAATCCTGACATCCTAATTAATAGCATTTTACACTGATTCTGTGCTAACTGCTTGTTATCATGTCAACATCATTTCCATTTCTTATCATTTCCCATTTGTGTACATGCTAACATGCTAACATTTGGCATCAACAAATTATCATAACTAGTCATGAAGTAGCTATTAACATACTGTACAGGCACATTACCATTTACATTAGCATGTTAGCATGCTAATATTAGCATATTTTGCACATTGGGGGGAAGTGGGGAAACTACTCATTTCTGGTGGGTGAAAACTTATATTTCAGGTGAATTCAGTTAAATCTGCTCATTAAAAATGGGAACTACTGGGCGCCTGGGAGAGTGCGTACCACCTGCTAAGGCTCAGTCCTGACAACAGCGGCATGCCATTCCCTCTCTCTCTCTCCCCTGACTTTCCTGTCTGTCTCTACTATACTGTAAAATAAAGCAGAAATGCCAAAAAAATCTTTAAAAAAAAACTAAGAATAAAACACAAGAGTGAACAACATGTCTGTCACATGTCACATGGAGGCTATTTTTGTCATGTTCTTACCACACATTAACACACAACTGACTTCAAATTGATTCGCTATAACAAATACATGGATTGTACATTTTTTATGATTCTCACTGTGATGGATTATTAATGAACTAAAACCAATGATTCCTGAGTAGCGCAAATCTAAAATTACTCTAGAATCGTCCAAAGTAATGATCAGTGTGTAAAAAAAGAAAAAAAAACACTGGTCCGATCCATAAGGTCTAGAAAACAGTCCTTAGAACTCAGGTGGGTTTCCTTTATTTGTGGGGACAATTTGTTTCGACATTACACTTTTCTTATTTCTTTCCTCTACTGCTCACACACATTTAGCATCCATCAGCCCCTGTATTGATAAAGCCCTCCGGAGGTGTGACGCTGAGGGTGAAACATGGGGGAGGAGTCAAGATTATTGATCTGTCGTCACTGGTAGAAAACCAGGAATGTCTGTAGTGTGATCCGTCTGTCAATCATTATTCCCCGAGGGCAAAAGCAGCCAACAGCAGCTCGGTCAGCTGATGGCAGAGAACAACATGTCTCCAAGTCATCCCAGCAATGGATGACAAAAGAGTACAAAGGGATTTATTTTAAAATTTTTGTCATTTTCTTGGTGGTGGTGGAGGGGGTGGGAGTGATTAGCAAATTAATAAAACAAATCCTTATGAATTAATGATGGTTCAATAAATATCTATTCAACCAACATGATTCTTATAATATGAAAGCAGTGTGTTTTTACATTTCCAAAACATTGCTTAAAGCAGCTATAATCAATATTTTTATAATAACAGTGTATAAAATGATGAGAAAACACTGTGACCACGTGAGAGGGTTTATCTACAGTATAGGACTGGGCAGAATATAAAAAGTATAGATATACAGTATATTTGATACAATTTTACAGAGGATATAAGAAATAACCATATTTGTTACATCAAATATACATAATATTAGCTAAACACCTTACTATCTATGTGCATTTTATGTGCAGACCACATCTGAACAGGAAAGCTGTGGAGCACTGTCTCTCTCTCTCTCTCTCACTAATTGGTGTGCACGTGCACGTACACACCTCACTGCCGCAACACCTGCCTTGTTGTTGCAAGTCGCTGCAGCATATTTCACCACTTTCCAACACTCAGGCTTGCCTCTTAGCATCAAGAAGCAATGTTCCCAAAGCTCAGCCATTTGGCAAAAAGAATTCCTCTGTGTCCCGGCCACTAACAGCTGTCTCCAGTGGTGGTAAGCAACCCCAACTCTTGTCTTTAGCCCTTATTTTCTTCTACTGAAGTTAGCATGCTAGCCAGCTAGCCCTGGCTGGTTTTGTCACTTGCCAATAGCGACTAACTGTAGCCTCTGATCCTCCCTGAAGACGAAATGCTGCTCAGAGGGTGTATTATAACTTCTTGTCTTGTAAATGCAACAATGTTTAAAGCTATTGTCAAGTAACAATCACCACCATCCGCTCCCAGAAAGAAACTACTTTCTGTGGCAGAGAAAACTTAGAAATAGCGCCTTTAAGTATATCGAGATATGAGTTTTTTTGCCATTTTGCCCAGCCCTACTACAGAGAATTAATAAATAGGCCTAAATAGGCTTTATAGAGCTTTATAGTAAGTTCCAGCTCATTATTTAGCTGTCGCAACTTCACTGTTTTAGTTTTCACTGCTCTCATAGCTTTGCTTTCAGCAGGCAGCTGTTTTCAGAGATAAAGCTCTAAAAACCCACCGTCCACTAGCTGCCCAGCACCAGACAGCAGACAGACACAGTTAGAGAGCAGCTGGTGAACACAGTGGAGCACTTTAGTGGTAAGAGACAGATGTTTCCCTCAGGAGTTGGTAAAGACCAAAAATAGAGTTAAAAGAGAATGAATGTTATATTCATTAGGTGGCCAGAAGCATAACTCCAAATGAATGCTAATGTTGCTCCATAACTGATGGATGTGTATATAAGTAACTATTTGGTAACAAATTTGCTATTTCAAGTTAAAAGGTCATGTTAAGTTAATTATAGTCATATTATTTGAGCAAATGTAACCACCAGAATGCTTTTGCAGTCTGTTACACACTGACATACGTATTTACAATGACTTTATATGCATTTAGTGGAAAAAATATTCCTTTCATAGGCAGAATATAGACCTCCAGAAACATATACTGACCTACTATACACTCCACAGGCAGTTTATTAGGAACACCTAGCTAAAGCTAATTATGGACTAAGAGAACATGCTAGCAATAAATCCTACATTCATGAGGGTTATAATGTTCAGTTTCTGTAACAGCTGTTTAAAGGATGTTCAACCTTATGGTTATTTTGGGAGCTGTAGTAAATATTTCTAATACTTAGTATACCCTCTTTGATGTATGGGTAGAATTTAATGCAGCACTGTTCAATTGCAATTTCCACAACTGCAACATACCTAGTAACAGAAATATTTACACGTATACCGTCGAACAGAAATATTGGTTCACAGCTTTGTAACCTTCGGGTTGTGGAGGAAAGGTTTTCCCTGGTGCCTGCTAAACATTGTATCTCGACAACAAGCAAGAACAAAACCATAAAACACACAGAGACATTAAAAATGTATGAGCAATCACACAGAATTGGAGAGAGGGGAAACAAACGAGAGAGGACAAACAAAGGGAAAGAGAGGATGAAAGAGAGGACAACAGAGTCTACAACAAACTGCTGCACAGAGAAGAAATGACCTGAGAGTTTGAATGAGGACACATCAGTGTCAGTATCAGAGCATCTTTCAGGAAGCTGCGTTTCGCTCTGCCTCTGTTATCATTCATATGTGTGAGATAAACAGACATCACTGCTTTCAGTCAGATATGCACTCTGCAGCATCATAAACAAATAGTACAGTTATATAGTGTGGAGGTGTTTTTAATAGGTTTTTTAAAGTTTAATGTGCCAGGATGTGCATATATTATCAAACTGAATCATACTCCTGATGATTCACTAGGCGTACAGTTTTCTGTTTATTACAGGTTTTATTGAGTATTGATCATTTTAATTAGTAGTACAAGGCCATA